GTATACGTCTTTTTTACCTTTCTTCCGTAACTAGTATATATTTAAGAGACATTCTTTACTTTTCTGTATACTTTAAACCATAGAAAGATATTGTACTTTACAAAGCGCAAATCGCGAAAAATTGAGATTGATCTGAGAAAAGTAGAACGTAATTTAGTTACAATTTGTTGTCAAAACCTGTTAAGGTTATCAGATGCACCTGCTCCTGCAAAAATGAACCGAGTCTGCAGTCGGAATCGGAGTCATTGCACCTGATCCCTTGATGGAACTGACTTTGTCATCTCTATTCCCGGAGGCATATTGAATCTTGTTGGAGAGCCGTCGTTGAATAGGCATAGTGTTAAAAACGTTTTTTAATATATTTCCCCTCGGTGTTGATCCCCATGTATGTTATGTATGTATATTAAGTTAGAGTTAAATTTAAGTTAAATTAGAGTTAAATTTAAGTTAGAGTTAAAGGTTTTCTCACTGTAGATATATTTTCTCGAAAAACTTGTCAAATACTGAGTATTGACGATTTTATCATTTGTGTTAATGAAAATGTTGTAATAGTTGTAAATGTAATAATAAAAATTAATTAATAGTAGTTTATTTTTTTTTATTTTACCTAGGAATGTTTTTACATTAGTTCTAGATTTTATTAATACTTATTCCCAAGTATACTGCTAATAAATTAATGATAACATAAAAATTATAATTATAATTATATAATTAAAGTTATAATTAAAAAAGGATTGGTAGAGATAGAGAAACTACAAAGAAGATAAAATGGAAAAACTAAACGCCAAATGCATCATTTTTCGATTCGTCTTTTGGATTAGCCAATATAGCTCTTCTTCCTTGGAGCTTCTTCACCAACTCCATATTCTTACCCGTTTTTCTTCTTTAGAAGAAAAGTCTCTAATGGAGATTGACGATGACTTCTGAAAATTGTTCCTTTCTTTTTAGGGTTTTGAGGTTTAGTTCTATACAATTCTCAAGGTTACACAGCCACGTAGGTTATTTGTGGTCTGCCAGTATCACGCTTTCCTTGTATTTTTCCTGTCATTATTAATTGAAGGAAGTTATATCTCGCGATATAGTTCCTTTGAATGTTATCGGCACTAAGTGCTTTTCCAGTTTTTATTTAATGGTACCTAATTATTGATATATAAAACGTAAAATTCGAAATTCACTTAAAGAAAATAAAAAATCAACAAAAGACACAACAAATAAGCACTCTGCTAAAACACCCGAATATAAAAGGAGAACTAACGTTGACAATAAATTAACGAGGAGTTAAGCAAAACAATTACTGACAATGAAGATTCCAACGAAAAATGGGAAACATTTAAGAACAGATTAATGATGTCAATTAAATCTGTGAAAATCGATGAAGCTGACTCCATGGATGACAGATGAGATCCGGCAACTAATGGACAAAAGAAGATCATACAAAAACAAAAATGTGAACGAGACCAAAGCCACACACAAGGAGATCAGGATAAAAATACGGGCAGCTAAAGAGAAGTGGTTCAACGACAAATGTTTAGAGATAGAAGAACTCCAGAGTAATCATGATAGTTTTGAATTGCACAAAAAAATTAAAGAATTAGCAGGTATAAGATGGTCCAACAATAGTAACATCCTGATTGATATGAATGGTAAAATAATATCTGATATCAAAGGCAAACTAAACGGATGGAGAGAATACGTCCAAGAATTGTTTGAGGACCACAGGACACAACAAGATAGCATGAACGAGGAACATGATATAGGTCCAAATATAACTAAGGCTAAAATAATACATGCAATAAATCTGGCAAAATTTAATAAAACTGCGGGACCTGACACAATTCCAACTGAAATAATTAAATTAATATCAGAAGTTCAGATCAATGTATTAGTAGACGTAGAAGATCAGATCAATGTATTAGTAGACTTAGGTATATAATACTATATAATATAATATGGGTATTATTCCGAGAGATTTGTTCAAATCAACATTTATTACATTAACAAAAAAACCTAATGCAAGGGAATGTAATGACCACCGTATAATTAGTCGAATGAGTCACACACTAAAAATATTCTTAAAAATTATCCATTCAAGAATTTTCAGAAAAGTGGAACAAGACATCACTGAAACCCAATTTGAATTTAGGGATGCCATTTAGGGTACACGAGAGGCATTATTTGGATTTAACGTCCTCATGCAAAGATTTATGGATGTAAACCACCCACTTTGTTTGTTTTATTGATTACAATAAGGCGTTCGATGAGGTCCGACACAACCGTCTTATACAGTTACTTAAAGATAAACACATTGACAACAAAGACTTAAGAATAATAACTCATCTTTACTTTAACCAAACAGTAAAAGTCAGAGTAGGCAAAGAACTTTCGCAGGAAGTAGAGATAAAAAGAAGCGTAAGGCAAGGTTGCATACTCTTCCCCCTATTGTTCAATTTATATTTGAAAGAAATAATTAAAAAATCACTCGAAAATGTAACAATTGGAATAAAAGTCAACGGTAGACCCATCAACAATATCAGATATGCCGATGATACTATACTAATTGCAGATAATATACAAGATCTACAGACACCCTTATGTTAATGCTAATGCTAATAAAACAAAATTTATCACAATTTCCAAAACACATCAACAAGACATTTTAAACATAAGAGGGGTTCCAATAGAAAAATTAAAAAAATACAGATATCTTGGTACAATTATTAATGAAAATAACGAGTATACAGAAGAAATAAAAATGAGAATTGGACAAGCTAGAGCAACATTTAATAAGATGAGAAAAGTATTATGCAGTAGAGACCTTAGTTTGCAACTCAAAATAAGAATATTACGTTTATATGTGTTTTGGGTACTGCTGTATGGAGTGGAGGCCTAGACCTTAAAGAAAGAGGTGAGCGATCGACTTAAAGCATTTGAGATGTGGACCTACCGAAGAATATTAAAAATAAGTTGGGTAGACCGAATAACAAATGTTGAGGTCCTCAGCAAGATAACAAAGGAAATGGAAATCATGAATACGATTAAGATAAAAAAGTTACAATATCTCGGCCACGTTATGAGAGGGGATAAATATGTGTTGCTACAAACCATAATGCAGGGAAAAATACAGGGAAAACGAAGTATTGGAAGAAGACGCATCTCCTGGCTCAACAATCTGAGAAAGTGGTATAATTATAGTTCCGTCGACGAGGAACCGTAAAAAGGGATAATGAAGGAAGATTTGAAGTTAAAATATCCTTCAATTCTAATACAAGCCTATTAGGGGATTAAAAACAGCAAGCATATGCGAGACTGCTGCAATTAGAGAAGAAATTTCAAAGAGACACAAACCTAGAAAAAGAAGAGGTGGTGTTGTGCGCTCGTTGTTGGACCTAAGGAATCTACTTGCAGTAGATTGCAATAACTTACACTATTTTTAAGTACATGAAAATGAAGGAAGGTATCAGATCAGAAAATCAGAAAGAAAATCAGATATAGGTATTCGAAACTCCAAAAGAGCCAGAAAAGAAAGGCATCAAGGTTTTTGCAGAATTGTTTATAAATAGGAAGAAGAAGAAGAGAAATATATGTCATAATTGAAATGGTATCTATAAATGCAATTTTAATAAAGGAATGAGAAGTATTTAAGTTTTTAGAAATAATTAAAATTTCCAATAGACATAACATTTCTCATGGCCAATTCTCAATGTAAACAAGAAATATTGGAGTAAATCTCCGAAAAGGAAAGTTTTTTACAATTATCGGAGATATTTGGCGCGATTTAAACTCCGAAATAATAAACAATCGTTTCACGAAAGCTCTCTTTAATCCATTTTACGCTCAGTGTCGTTGTTTGCCCAATGTTAAATTCTATTGCCTTAAAAAATGGAGAGATAAAACCGTGGCAATCCAGAAAAACATTAATAGGCGTGTCAGTGAAACTAATTATTGAAAGTAAACCTTACTAAAGCGAATGGATAGCTGAAACATACTTATACAGAATTGGTGTGAGGTGAATCCACTACAAACAGGTAATAAAACCAGTCAAGCAAGATGAGTAAATACAGTAAACACGTTTTATTGGCCATTAAGTTTTATTGGTCATTAAACCCAGTAAATCGATAGGTAAAGGGAGTAAACATTCAAATATAAATGTTTCGATTGGTACTCATCCGTTTTCTCAAGGTTAATATCACTTATTCATTATTTTTATTGAAAACACAGTTTATTACTATGAAGTATATCAATTAAATCGAGAAGTAATTAATTTTATTTAGAAATATAGTTAAGACTACATAAAAGCACAGAATTTAAGAAAATTATTATTTATTGAAGTTTAAACAAAATCTATTTTTTTTTCTACAACATAGAAACAAGTTGTGAAACAGTTTTAGTGATTTGTTGATCATTAATTAAATAATTTTTTAACGTTGGGTGAAGGAAGGAGAAATGGACCATCTTTTACAAAGCTGAAGCCTGTTTCTTTATTAAATAAACATCAGAATAGAAAAAAAATTGTATAACACAACTTAACATTGATATTTGTTTTGGTATAAGTAAAAAACTAGAAATTATAATTCTTAAACATAAAAAAAATATAATGCACTGGCACTTCATCGTCTCTCTCCTTGTCCTCGTCTCTGCATCGTCCATCTCTCTTCAACTGTGGAAGTGAGATGGGCCACAAGGAGTAGGCCAAGCTAAACGAAAGGTGTTTTTTGCCTATATTGGCATTAAAGTATATCTAATAGATTTCAGCATCACGCTTTTGCATTAGGTAGGATCGCATATTTTGTGCAGATCTTCATAGAATCTTTTTACTTGGATGTTTTTAATTTCGATAATCATCAAAATCTGGTTAATTCCTTTACTAATGGCATAATTTCCTTAAGTTTTCGTTCTATTAGGTATATTTAATTTACTTTCTTGTTCTTTATTTAGCATCCAGGTAAGCATTGTACACACTATCATATTAAATTATAAATAAAGGGAAATAAAGGCAAAGTGATTTTTGAATGCTTTATTAAATCTACAGAAAACACAAAAAGTATGGACTAACAAAGAAGAACCCTTACAAAAAACTCTAAATATAATTTATAAAAACCTATCACCAGCCGTTAAAATATTAAAGGTCACCATGAATAATTTAAAAAGCGGGGTCGTCTTCTAGTTTAACTCTAATGGTGTCTGCAAATGGTTCGTACACTTCTTTGTCTTCCTCCTTTCTTATTACAAGTTTAAAGTACTCTGATGAGAGCCGTAGAATAATTATCATCGCCACAAAAAATAGTACAAAAAAAATACATCGAATTACTTCAAATTCGGCTGAAAAAAAAATGTTTTTATTAATAAACGAATGATGTATTAGACATAAGATTTTATTTGTTTAACTAGGTAACATTATTATTTTACATTTAAATTAAAAAGTCTCCATATCATAATAGACCAGAGAGGATCTATGAAAAAAAAAACTAAATTTGGATATGAGGGGTGGAGTTGTCCTCCCTCTCAAATAGGTCGGGAAAGAAGTGAAGAATGGCCCCCGGTAAAAGGTGAAGAAGATTCCGGTCCTGAAATTTCAGGTAGACAAAGTCAAAATACTTTGAGCTCCAAAACTTTTATAGTTTTTGATAAGAAACAGAGTAAATTTAAATAATAAATCGAAATATTTAGAAGCAGTCAACAGTGGTCTGTTAATAGCTGAAAGTACAGTTTCCAAATTGGCAGTAGTTTGATTACATGCATTGTTTTTATATACATACGAAAAACATTATTTATATTTCGTATTTATTAATTATTTAAAAAAAACTAGTTTCAACTCTTGGCATTATCTTGCTAATTACTAGATCGACTATTTACTTTTAAATAAACAAAGTTGGACCGACCTAAATTAAAATTATTGAAATGAAAGTTCAATTTAAATTTAAAAAAAGATAGAAGATTAAATTTGACAAAATGACAGGTGCTACTTCTGACTACAGTCCATCAATTAATCCTGATCAGCAGAACATTACTTATTCTACCATCACTACGCAACAACCATTAACAAAATTCCTAACAAAAAACCAGGCCATAATTTTACCTGCAGTAGATGAAATAAGAACAGAAGAGTAGGTACACCATTGCAGTAGGAAATATAGTCCATCCAAAAAATGTACTGTTCTCATCCAAAATGTCAAACGGAAGAATATGCGTCTACCCTTCAACATGGTGAAATTAAAATTGAAGAACATACAATGTAAGCACGTAAACTAATTACATCCGCTAATAGATTAGTTTTATCCAAAGTATGTCCATCTGTATTACATAATTGAACAGTCTTTAATCAATCTTGGTTTTAAATTCATGCCTCCGATTTCGTTCCTTAGAGCTGAAATACAAGACCCGCAATATAGCCATGTACCTACTTAGTTTCCGAAGAAAAGTTTACTTTGCACCTACAGACAATTTTACTGTACCCTACTCCGTCCTAATTGATTTTGAAAATATTTCGTACCGAATTTTTCTTTCCGATGAACTAACTTGTTACAAATACCGTCAAGCTGGTCACGTTTCCTCGGACTGTACCTCAAATCCCTCTTATTCACAAAATACTTAAAAGCCCCAAACGGAGGAAAATTTTCTTCCACAAATACCATCCACTAGCCCCGAACAAGATCAAATTACACATGTGAATGAAGAATCTCGAGAAGAAATGGATGCTCAAGTCAGCACTGATACCGATAATAAAAATAAACGATCTTACTCGAAAGTGTCATCCCAAACTTGGTCCACTCCTACAGAAACTATACCAATAGAAATAGAATAGAAATAGAATAGGGCAAAATGTTACTATAGACCCATAAAACTTTGAAAGAGTGGAGAGTTTTAAATATCTCGGAGCAAAAATCACTGCAGATAACGATATCGCGGAAGAGATTAAAGGAAGAATTCAGGCAGCAAACAGATTTATGTACAGCCTCCACAATACTATTAAATCTAAAAGCCTAACACGAACATCAAAGATTAGAATACATAAAACGGTGATTAGACCGGTGCTCATGTATGGGTGTGAGACGTGGACCCTGACCAAAGAAATTGGAAGAAAACTTAGATGTTTTGGAGATGTTATAGAGCGAGCGACATAGTCCAAGAGATTAAATCCCAACGTCTAAGATGGGCTATGTCATAGACTCCCTAATAACCGCCTTGCCAAGTTAATATGGGAGGAAGCCCCCACAGAAAGAAGACCCTTAGGACGTTCACGAATGCGATAGAGAGACAATATATGGTCAAATCTAAGAACAATGGGGCTACCCACTGACCCAACTATTATGGACAACTGTTCAAGATGGAAGCAAGTTGTGTAGTCAGCCAAGACCCACCCCGGGTTGTAGTGCTACGAGAAGAAGAAGAAGGATATATTTGATTTTCTATGGTAAAATATATTAATAAAAGGTACATATAACTTCCTCATACTTGCAAATACAACATAATTAATACTGAGCCACGGAAGTAAGTTCTGAGATAAACAAAGTTATGGGTAAGTTCATCAATTTGGAAATTGTATTTAAAAATTAATTTTCCCTTACCATAGCAATATATAATAGGTTAAAGAAAATAATTTAATTAAAATAGTTTTGTCTATGTATAGTGACTAAATTATGTTATGTACCTACATTGTAAAATATGATAACGAATACTTTAAATTCTTTGGTATGATAACCATGGCATTGAAAATATTATGGTATATAATCAGGTCATAAAAAAATAATTCGTATGATATCAAATCAACAGTTATATTTATCATAATTTTGACGTCGTATATAATATGTTAAATACCTTTATTATGATTCATCCGTTTTAACACACTGTACGAAATTAATTTGTGTAATATTAAAGGCCATGACAGAATTTTATTCTCGAATAAATATATTGACATTTAGATCATTCCCTCGGATATCGCTATATAAAAAGGAGTTTTAATAAAAATTGTGATTTATTTGGTGATTTTCTTGATAACTGCTTCTGGATTTTTTCCTTTCTAGAAGTCCCATCCACTTAAGTCGCTGTGCCTTGATAAATCTGACGATGTCTTCTCCTTTCAAAAGTTTTCTTACTTTTTAGTTCATCAATTTTCTAAATTCATTATTTGCTAAGTTTAGTGAGTCTGCTATTCTCCGAATGATTTTTCTCTCCAAGATTCTCAATTTTTATTCATCTTTCTATGTCAGGCACATTACTTCAGTACATTATCCACATCTCCGAGGGTGTGGTACCAAGGGACATCCGCTAAACTGTTTCGAGTTTCGAAAAAGACTTAGAGGAAATCCGAGGAGAAGATAAAAGGACTGTGTTGCAGAAGACTTGACAGAGACTGGTAAATAAAGAAGACACAATGGGCATCAATGAATGGAAAAGAAGAGTAAGGAAGAGCGAACCCTGAAAAGGGAAAAGTTAAGGAAGAAGAGTATAAGGATGTTTAAGTATTAAAATATGTAACAAATTAAATACTTACTGTCAATTTTATTGCCGTCGACCTCGGAAATAGCTTTTATTTTCAGAACACCATCAGTCACATTTTCGAAAATTATTTCTCCTAAAGGTAAGGGATTAACCATATCAGTGTTACCTAAAAAAATTTTACTTTAAAAGTACCTATCGGTACAGAAGGAATCTATTTTTTATTTTCATATCTGAAGTGGTCTACTAGATCTTCCTATTTAGTCTCATTTATTCGCAAGAATCAAAAACTTTATTATTGTTTATTCAACGAAAATATACATAAATGTCTTAATGTTTAATGGTATTTGATGGTACACGTAAACTCATCATCAATTAGCATAAATTCATTCGTAAATAGTACAAACTCATCAGCGCAATAAAACCAGAGATTTCAAAATAGACCCGGAGAGATTTGCAAACTGTTTATTGGCCTACATACACCCTGTGACAGATCCTTCTTCTTATGGTGCCTTATCCAATTAGTGGATGTTGGCAACAATTCTGGCATACTCCTCTCGATCTTGTGTGGCTCTAAAGAGTGTATGGGCATCGAGGTTTATCCAATCCCTTATGTTTTTAAGCGATGAGTATTTCTTTCTTCCGATACCCCGTTTTCGGGGTATGGAACGTTCCTGAGCAATCTTACTAATTCTGAATGATTAACACAATCGAAAGCTTTCTGGTAATCTATAAAGCATAGGAAGACATATTTTTGCTGATCTCTGCATTTTAAAGTAGGTCAGTTAAGCTATAAAGTGCTTCTCTTGTGCCAAATCCTTATCTGAAACCGAAGTAAACCAAATGAAAGCGTTTTACTATATTTAATTTCTAGTTTTTAACGCTCTCATCTAAACATATATAAACGAAGTAATATAAAAATAAAATGAACTACTTACTGAACAGATCCTTAGGGTCATTCAAGGCTTGATCCTTTTTGACAGTGATGGCGCCAGCGCTGCTTAGAAGAATGGCTGTAAATCAAAATATTTGTTAAATTTGAGATAACATAATCTTAAATATTACAGTAACAGAAGTTTACCGACTCAAAAGAAAACTTGATACAAATGACGGAAAAGTTTATGTCCCCAGAGAAATGATGCTACTTACTTTTAAAGGAAATATATTACCCAGACATGTATACATAAATAGCGTTGGATGTGTTGTAGAACCCAGAGTTATCCAATGCTTTAAATATTTAGAACATTGACACATATTGAATAATTATAACAGTACGAAAACTAGATGTATCAACTGTAGCCAGGAAAAAAAGAATGCACATAACTGTCTTGATCCTCAAGCCAGTTTCTGTAAAAATGTAAAAACTGTAAAAATTTTAAGCACAAATCTATCTCCAAACAGTGTCCAAAATTCAAAGACCACAACCAAATTAAAAGACAAACCGGCAGAAAAAAATTTAATTTTTCTTGAAGTTAAAGCAAGCCTCAAAAACTTAGATACACTAAATAGTGAAAACTTTCCACCTCTAGTAAAGCACAAACAAACCAGAGCTACATTTAAACCATCCATTTCTAATATTCAACAACAATCACAGAAAGCAGCTGAAGCGTCTAGGCAATTTAAAAAAAGGAAAGCTAAATCTCCTTTACTTGAACCCATATTTCCCTTTGAATTAGGACTAAAAAGCTCTTCCTCCGAATATTCCATACAGTGCTGAGTACTCATTTCTTTTAACGATTTAGAAAAATTAGACAAAGCGTATATTTATGATAAAGTTAGTAATTTTAATAGTATTTCTAAATAATGGCTAATAAAATAAAAAATAAAATAACGATTTTACAGTGGAATGCACAATCTGCTGCAACTAATAAACTGAGTTTATGTAAATGTTTGGATGAATATATACCTAGTTGATATTGCTGTAATTTCAGGGCAGGTTTAAACTGGATAAACAAAAGTAGTTTTGTCGTTCGAAGCTCATTGAAGCTAAAGAGACACCCCTTACACTATGCAGATAGTTTTGTACAGATACGTTTGTAGCTAGAGCTATCTCAAACAACTTCAGCTATTTAAAAAATATTCGTAACTCAAATATATTAGACTTAAGCCACAAATATTGGCGTAACAAAAAAACTCCCATATGCGTTGAAAGGCATAGGAAATTGACAATATCTGAAGAACAATTGTATCAAGATAAAATACCACCAATTTATACTCAACCTACTAAGACTCTCTTCTTATAGTAATAGAAACATATTATATGGATTCAAACCTTCCAGGAAGTATGATCAACAAAATAATTAAAGATAAGTGGCGCGCATTTCAATATTTTTTTACTGACAGCTCTAAAATCCAAAATAAAACGGGTTGTGGAATATATCACTGGAATTCTGATTACAAAGAATCATGTCGATTGCCCAATGAGGCTTCGATATTTTCTACTTTTGTCTCTTTCTTGATGGTCACTGGGTAGTCATTGACATTGATAAGTCTCACGGGTATTTCTTTAGCCGAAGTCAGCAAATTCCTTTTCAAATTTAAATCCCTCGGCCAACCTCGTCGTCATGGTTCCAAAGCTCCATCAACAGGTGTCCCTTCGTCCACAATTCCCTATAACGACTGTATCTTCTTTAACGGTTGCTTGCACAGTATTGTCACCATGTGGATGAAGAAATACCTCCTCGTTACCAACTTTGATTACCTTATTCTTAAAATCCAATTAGAATCCAAGCGTATTCATTACGTCCATTCCTAATATAACATCCTCTTCGATGTACCTGGATTTTTCCATGAATGTTGGCATTTTCACCTGTGGAGGTCCGAAGTCGCAACCTCGTTAGTAACAGTTTCTTACGGCTGTTTATAACTGTCGGGGGTAAAATGGTTCTGGTCGCTCCAGTATCCACCAACAACGTATGCCTTTTACCATTTATTTATCTACATTTATAGATGTTTACCATATATTTATATCTACATACTTATACACTATTTTCACGACATTTCAAAGAAGCTATTAGTATGAGATGGTCTTTGGAGAAGTGAAGAGAAATGAATAAGTAGACAAATTAGCTAAATCTGCAGCTTTAACCAAACATAATATAAACAACACACTTCTACCAGTAACAGACATAGATAATATCAGTAAAAACAATTGCAAACAAAGATAGCAACGTTTATACAACCAAAGTACAACTGGAATCAACTTTAGAGCTTGCCCAACCACTAATACCCAATGAAAGATGGTTCAAATATGAGACAAACAGGTTATTTATAAAAACAATAAACAGAATAAGATCAAACCACGCACTCACTCCTGCATACAAACACAGCATAGGCCTCACTGATAACCCATATTGCTCCTGTGGTAAAGTGGGAAATCTGCAGCACCTTATATTGGAGTGTGGACAGTACAAACAAAGTATCAAAATGATGTATGAAAAACTAATTGAGCTAAATTGTTCATTGCCTGTCAATTTGAATACAATTATTTTTTCAAATAATAAGCAGATATTAAAAAGTATCTATGAATATATAACGTCCTGTAAATTTAAATTAGTAGTTTTAGGTAATAAAATTAAGAATTGTAAATATGTCAAAAACTGATAAAATGTGTATACGAACATATTACTCCCTGTAAATTTAGATTATAAATAGGCTTAGGTAATAAAATCAAAAATTTTAACTTTTACACCAAATTGTTAATAAAAAAAGTAGAAATTGATAATTCATTTTTGTAATTATACGACAAAAATAATAGGTACCTAGTCAAAAAATAAATAAAGAGGCTTAAGCCAAGAAACTATTATAATAATAAGCAAAAAAGCTGGATAATTGTAGGATTTATTAATAAATAGAAAAAGAGAAAAGATAGTACCTTTTAAAATCAAAGAAATAAAACAATCGATTTCATAAAAAAGGGCATTGACCAATAAATACTCTTATAAGTGTAAATATGTTTCAGGTAAAAGAAATTTCAACTACATTAAATTTTAACAAATAAATTTTAAAAATAATTGTTAATAAAAAAAAATAGAAATTGATAATTCAGTTTTGTTGATGACTGATTGACAATTACGAAAAAATAATAAGAACCTGCTCAAAAAAATAATTAAACAGTCTTAAGCCAAGAAAATATTATAATAATAAGCAAGAAAATCTGAATAATTGTAGGATTTATTAATAAATAGAAAAAGAGAAAAGTAGTACCTTTTAAAATCAAAGAAATAAAACAATCGATTACATAAAAAAGGGCGTTGACCAACAAATATTCTTGTAAGTGTAAATATGTTTAAAGTAAAAGAAATTTCAACTACATTAAATTTTAACAAATAAATTTTAAAAATAATTGTTAATAAAAAAAAAATAGAAATTGATAATTCAGTTTTGTTGATGACTGATTGACAATTACGAAAAAATAATAAGAACTTGCTCAAAAAAATAATTAAACAGTCTTAAGCCAAGAAAATATTATAATAATAAGCAAGAAAATCTGAATAATTGTAGGATTTATTAATAAATAGAAAAAGAGAACAGATAGTACCTTTTAAAATCAAAGAAATAAAACAATCGACTAAATAAAAAAGGGCGTTGACCAACAAATACTATTATAAGTTTTTAGAACAATACCAACGGTTTCCATCAGAAACAATTATTAAAACCAATAAAATAAGATTTTTATTATACTAGAACAATTAAAAATTATTTTATGTATTAAAAATCAATAGGTACTCACCAATGATTAACTTAAGGTCCGCCATTATTACTGATTGTAAGAAACAGAAGAACCACATTTTGTCACCTACCTACTCGACAATATGAAATAAGTTGGAAAGGTTATCTGTAGTTCCCTTCCCCCTAACCAACTAGATTGGAGGTATTTGATTGGTCAAAGTACTAGAGCCACTACATTGCAAAATAATCGATATTCTGTCAAGTGTCATTTCCTTGTAACAAAATAAAAATTAACATCAACTAAAGAGCAAAGTTTAACACAGAGTCGTACTAGGAATATCAGTCGTTCTAGATTGTTATATATAAAATTTATCTATAAATATAATCCCCAATATAGTTTTGAAACTATTTTTTGGTGAAGTTTCTATGTTATCTACTATATTTAATGGGAATTAAGCGTAATTTTAATTCAAAATATAAGATTTCAGTATGGATGTTTAGTACCTACACCTAACGCCTAGCAAAAAGATATGTTTGAAATCCAATAAACGCTAAAATAACTATATTCGATTTGGAAATGCATGATAGCACAGTTTCTATGGCAGAAGATGACGGTCTTTTATTTCAAAGCAGAAAAATTATAAATATCGATATCTCCTTGTCTCAGGTTTTTAAATTGTTATAAACATAAATAATTTATAAAAATACTATCACCACCCCGAGAAACATCAAATACAACGCAACATAAATTGCAAATGAGCAAGAGGGAAAGAGCGGAAAATGTGTAGCAAAGAAGAGTAAGAAAGAGCGACTCCTAAAAAGGGAAAAGCTAAGGAAGAAGAATATTAAGATGTTTAAGTATTACAATATGTAGCAAATACTAAAATACTTACTGTCAATTTCAACGTTGTCGTCCTCGGGAATAGCTTTTGTTTTTATAACACCATCAATCGCATTTTCGAAAATTATTTCTCCTAAGGGATTAACCATCTCAGTGTTATCTAAAAAAATATTACTTTAAAAGCACCTATCGATACAGAAGAAATCTATTATGCCGGTAGCCATGGCCTTTGGTACGGTTTGAATGGCGAAAGTGGTAATACCTTGATTTTAGGGATTGTATAAAATCACTTACCAACCCGTATAGCCAGCGTGGTGTTTTAATCCTAAAAAACCTCCTAACAGGAATATGGCGATATCTAAAACAAAAGGAATGGGTCCCCAGGTGAGTAAACCATACAGTAATGGCAAATCTCACTCCCTTGGAAAAAAGGAAGCTTCATGGAATCTGGGAAAAACAACAAGTCGCTAAAAACCACACGATTGAACATCGCAACTCTAAATATAAGGTCTTTAAGCAAAGATGAAAAAGTCTACGAACTCGAAGAAGATATCAAGGACTTAAAATGGGACATCATTGGTCTAGCAGAGGTAAAAACAAAAGGAGAATAGTGCATAACACTAGAGTCCGGCAACGTCCTATATTACAAAGAGCGAGAAGAACAAAACCTAGATGATGTGGGATTTCTAATTTCCAAGAAAAATGCACATGCAGTAGAGCAATTCGTAGGAACATCTGAAAGAATTCATCTCTCTAAAAATTATTCAAGAACACGCTCCAATCGTAGCACATTCTGATGTAGACGAATTTTATGAGAAACTTGCAGAAACTAGCACAAATTATCAGCACATATACGAGGGTAATAGGAGTCTTCAAGAAAATGAGATAGGAGAAACCTTGGTTTTTGGTTAACTTCCCACAAACCCACAAATACTATGCAATGAACACATTCTATAAGAAAAAACCTCAAAGAAAGTGGTTGAACGGAAAAACTCGGAACGAAATAGCTTAATAACAAAACAGATATCAGTAGATCAGTTAGAGCCAAATTAGAGATAAAACATAATAAACATAGAAATAAATTTAGAAAAACTTGAAATATGGACACAGATAAACTAAAATCTAATACAGAACAATATATAAGCAAGTTAAAACCCGCGAAAGTATTAAATCTAGATAAACTTAGCTTAAATGAAATCAATGAAGTCAAAACAAAAGAACTATTAAATGCAAGCTAAATATATAAACATAAATATAAACGAAGTAATAAAATGAACTTCTTACCAAACATATCCTTATTGTCGTTCAAGGCTTGATCTTTTTTGATAGTCAGGGCGCCAGCGCTGCTTAGAAGAATGGCTGTAAATCAAAATATTTGTTAAATTTGAGATAACATAATCTTAAATATTACAGTAACAGAAGTTTACTGACTTAAAAGGAAAATTGTTACAAATGAGGAAAAAGTTTATGTACCCAGACAAATGATGCACAGTTTTAAATGTTTAGAACATTAACACATATTGAATAATTGTAACACTACGAAAACTAGATCTATCAACTGTGGCCAGGAAAAAAACGATGAAGATATATCAAAATACGAAGATATAGAAGAACAAAATGGATTTTGTGCAGAAATATCGTGCACTGATGGTATATTCTTTCTGCAGCAGGTAATCGAAAAACGGAAGGCAAGGAATCTATCTATTCACCTATTGTTTGTAGATTTAGAGAAGGCATATGATACGGTACCTTTGTTTCAAACATTGACGAAAGTAAGTCTCAGTAGAGAGTATGTGGATACTATCGCAAAAATATATACAAAAATGCAAGAAGTGTCGTTAAAGAAGGAAAATTTATATCTGAATCATTTCCAATAACAAAGGGGCTTAAACAAGGATGTTGTCTATCTTCGACGTTATTTAAAATATATATTCAATTATCGTTAGAACAGTGGAGGAAACAAGTAGGTATCCGGAATGGAAATAGACATAGGCGGTGGTAAATGTCTAACAACTTTATTTTTCGCAGATGATTAAGTAGTCGTAGCGAATGACGAGGAAGATATGGACTACATGTTCAAAAAACTAAAGAAAGAATATGAAAAATGGGGCCCCAATATGAATATGTCAAAAACAGAGTATCTTAAAATAGGAGATGATAAAGAATATCCAGAGTTAGAAATTAGAAACACAAAAACATGCAATGAATATAAATATCTCGGATCTGTAATATCTAAAGAAGGCACTACTACTACTATGGTCTAAAGATATTAGACAAGAAACGAAATTGACAATCTATCGAACCTTGATAGAGCCTATTATGATTTAAGGGACAGAAGTTTGGCAGATCACGAAAAAAGATAGAAAAAGAATAGAAGTAGTAGAAATGGATTTTCTAAGGAGAGCGTGTGGTGTATCCAAAAACAATCATATCAGGAATGAAGATATTAGAGGGAGGACCAATACTGTATATTCCAGTGTAGACAAAATTGAAACGAGACAACTAGTGTGGTACATAATGAGAGATAGAGCCATCAAAGGAGACGAATGGATGGACAGAAAACGATGGCGGTGGAAATGTGGGAGGCGGCAGAGGCTGTAGGAACCTCGGTTATATACAAGGTGGTCCAGAATTATGTACATTAATTTCTAGAGCTCATAGTACGTCCAAAAATAAGAGTATTTCTTTATGTACACTTTTTTATAAAACTGAAGAATAAGGAAGATACAACCCTTTAAAGGGGTGAATTGAAATTCTTATTTTTTCAAATATCTTCCAAACGGTTTTGAATACGGAGTTCATATTTTGGAAGTGATTATAAGACATTAAAATAATTAATTTCATGTCACCACCTACCACATCCTATATTAATATAGGGTAGTTTTGGAGGGTAAGTGGGGGTTATTGCGTCACATGTTTTTTAATTTTTACATATTTTAAAATAATATTTTAAAAATTGTTTCCTTAGACTTTTCTACGCAAAAAAGGTGCTCTTGTAATATTTCGATAGATATCACCGTTTTCGATTTATTTAAACTCGAAGGTATACATGTATTTTATTGTAATCGTTACATTTCTTAATATTCATCAAGTATGCTTTGGAATTGACACTTGTGTTAGCAATAATATTACAAATTAATGGAAAACCTAATTAATACTTAACATTTAATTAATGGTGAAAATAATATTTCACAACAACTGTTCAAAATGTCCTCCATTTTGTTGAATACAATCTAATTCTTTTATTTAGCGAACGCATTAATCCATTTAATGTTACTGGATCGTTTTGTAAATCGGTAAATACTTGTCCAATTTTGTCTCTTAACTCATTTACTGTATTAATTGGAGTGTTATACACTTTTGATTTCAAATAACTCCATACTGTAAAGTCCATTGGATTAGGATCACAACTAAGAGCAGTCCAATGAAGCGGTGCATCCGCACCCCGGCCTATCCACCTATCAGGGAAATGTTCATGTAACCACCTTCTACCAATTCTTGTGTAATGTGGTGTAGCACCATCATGCATAAAAACATGTTTCTTCGTATTTGTAATGAAACATCTTCCAAAATATGTAAAATATTGTCTAGAAAATTGTAATACATGTTACCATTTAAGTTTCCGGGAAAGATGTGGTATCCAATGAAACTATTTCCTAAAGTAGCTGCCCAAACGTTTATCTTGAACGTGTGTTGGAAGTGAGTTTCCATTGTAGCCAGACCAGACCAGAAGTGCATATTTCTAGAATTGACGATACCTTGTCTTGTAAATGTGGACTCGTCTGTAAACAGAATGTTACTTAAAAAATTTGGTGCAGTTTGAACTTTATTTTGCAATACTTCACAAAAATCAATTCTAAGTGGTATATCGTCAGGTAGCAATTCCTGCACCTGCGATAGTGGTAAGGATGTAATTGCTCTTCATGCAGAAGTCTTAAGACACTTTGATGGGAAATATTCGTTCTTAATCCTAACCTGCGTGTACTTATTGTGGGGTCATTTATTACAGCATCCAATATTTGCTGTTCAACGCGAAGCAACATTTCTTCTTTGAAAACAACCGGTTTCTCTCAGTCGTCGTTCAGTACTTACAAAAGTCCAAGCATTGGGAATATTTCTGATCGGATACTTTTCTCTATAGCGTCTTACAGCGGCAGCAGCATTTACCGAACATTCCCCTAATACTAAAAGTATGTCTGCCATCTCAGAATTAAACGTCACTGAAAATTCATAGACTACTTAAGATTACAGAAAGATTAAGAATGTAATCGTTACATTAAGAAATGTAACGATTACAATAAAATACATGTATACCTTCGAGTTTAAATAAATCGAAAACGGTGATATCTATCGAAATATTACAAGAGCACCTTTTTTGCGTAGAAAAGTCTAATTAAACAATTTTTCAAATATTTTTTTAAAATATGTAAAAATTAAAAAACATGTGACGCAATAACCCCCACTTACCCTCCAAAACTACCCTGTATTAATATAGGATGTGGTAGGTGGTGACATGAAATTAATTATCCTAATGTCTTATAATCACTCCCAAAATATGAACTCCGTATTCAAAACCGTTTGGAAGATATTTGAAAAAATAAGAATTTCAATTCACCCCTTTAAAGGGTTGTATCTCCCTTATTATTCAGTTTTATAAAAAAATGCACATAAAGAAGTACCCTTATTTTTGGACGTACTATGAGCTCCAGAAATTAATGTATATAATTCTGGACCACCTTGTATATATATATATATATATATATATATATATAATATATATATATATATATATATATATATATATATATATATATATATATATATATAAGCCCAATCTCCTTTACTTGATCCCATGTTTCCCTTTGAATTTGGACCAAAAAGCTCTTCCTCTGAATATTCCATACAATGCTGAGCCAACAGAGATGAATTTAGAAGTATATTTTTTAATTTCTTAAAAGTACTCTTGAAAATTTTAATTTAGCGATTTAGAAAAATTAGAAAGTCTATATTGATGATGAAATTAGTAGTTTTAATAATATTTTTAAATAATGGCTAAAAAAATAAAAAATAAAATATGGATTTTACAGTGGAATGCACAATCTGCTGTAACTAATAAACTGAGTTTTTCTGTAAATGTTTGGATGAATATGTAATGGATATTGCTTTAATGTAAGAGACCTGGTTTAAAACTAATAAATTAAAAGGTTATCAAATTATTCGTGAAGACACACATGATGGTTACGCATGAGTAGCAGTTCTTATCAGAATTGTGTTTCAAGTAAAAGAAATTTCAACTACAACAAATTTTGACAAATAAATTTTACACAACATTGTTTATAAAAAAAGTTGAAATTGATAATTCAATTTTGTAATTATACAATAATAATAACAAGTACGTACTCTAAAATAAACTAAAATTAATAAAGAGGCTAAAGTCAAGAAGCTATTATAATAATAAGCAAGGGAAGGTCGATAATTGTAGGATTTATTAATAAATACAAAAAGAAAAAATATAGTACCTTTCAACATCAAAGAAATAAAACAATCGACTACATAAAAAAAGGGCGTTGACCAACAAATACTGGTATAAGTTTTTAGAACAATACCAACGGTTTCCATCAAAAACAATTATTAAAATCAATAAAATAAGATTTTTATTATACTAGAACAATTAAAAATTATTATACGTATTAAAAATCAGTAGGTACTCACCAATGATTATCTTAAGGTCAGCCATCATTATTGATTGTAAGAAACAGAAGAACCACAGTTTGTCACGTACCTACTCGACAAAATGAAATATGTTGGAAAGGCTTAGGTATACCGGCTACCTGTAGTTCTTCTCCCCTCTATTTTACTAGATTCGTGGTATTTGATTGGTAAAATTACTAGAGCCACTACAACAATCGATATTTTTTCAATTATCATTTTCCTCAGCAACAAAAGAAAAATTATCTAACCTAAAAGAGCAATGTTCAGTACAGAGACGTACTAGGAATATCAGTTGTTCTAGATTGTTATATATAAAATTTTTCGATAAATATAATCTCCAATATAGTTTTGAAACTATTTTTTGGTGTTTGGTTTGATATGGAGTAGTAACTACACCGTACTGAGGAGATCTAAAGATATCGAAATACGTATATGCGGCTTGTTGCTGCTCTGTATCAAATCAAAATCTAATACCGTCATTTTGTTTTGTTTATTTACTTCATTTGGAGTACCAGAAATCGAATTCACTACGAATATAGGCCATGATGAACGGCAATTGGAGTGCAACTTTTAGACTCCCTTGCCGATGCATTCATCAAGCTGTTTGCTTCGCAAGTCTTAGGGGCGTGCGGCTTATATTTGAATTCGATTTCGCCA